TTACTTAGCCAGTCTTCTACAAAGTGTTAATTCAGACGTTATTGGTCTGAAGGGCCTCTCCCATGGTGTATGTAAAGACACCATTTGTAATTTTTCACCTTGGCCAGCAATATCAGGATCACCTGCCATAATCTCAGAAGACTTTACCCAGACATACTAAACTGTGAGTAGAAAGCTTGGCCATATAGCCTAGCTTTCTGTTACTAAAAGGAAATTTTGATGCAGTGCTGGGAACCATTAAAGCAAGATAGGCTTTCAAGTCCATCTTGGACTTTAATACTCCCTCAATTCTTTTTATGGCTTGTACTGATGTAATTGTCTCCTGAGTGGTCTAAACAACAATACCTCTTTTTAATGACTTGTACTGCTATAATCATCTCCGGAATGGTCTAAACAGTAATACTGTCTTCACCTGGGAAACAGTTAATCATAGCCATTTTTTCCCAGATGAAGAAAGAATTAACACCTGATGGATGATCTAGGACTAACTGCCCTTTATTAGCCTTAATATATCGGCCCTAACCAAAATAAGTGGTAATTGACAGGAATGACTAATGCTTGATCATTAAGGAAAGGAATATGGGAGGCAGACTTACGAGGAATTTAGCAACATTTTTTTCTCTAAATAGAAGTGTGGCCTTGAAAAACATCACTTGACATTTTAGACTTTTAATTCCCATTCGAATAAAACAGAAATTCATTTTAACTTCTTTTGAAAGTTATTCTTTAACTCTGAAATAATAGTAGAATAATCAGTACAGATTCTGTACTAAATTAGTGTTAGATAAAGAGTTTCTATTTAGACTATTTTGTCTGAGTTTCTGAGGTAAGACTCAGATAGTTATTCATTTTTTAAATTAAAAATTATTTGAAATGAAAATTGATGAGATGAAGAAATACAATTAAGGATGAAGAGAGGGCTGGCTTAGAAGTCCATAGCACTCCCTACTGTACCAGAGGAATGAAGTTTGGATCCTAGCACCCAGTGGCGAGGCTCATAACCCCCTGTGACTTCAGCTCCAGAGGATTCATCGTCCTCTTCTGCCTACCAAGGGCAGCTATATATGCACTCATGCAAGCACACACATACATAAATAAAAATTAAAAAGTAATGAATCTTTAAAAGAAAAACAAATAAGTTTTAAAAATAAACATTTACATCAACATTAAATGAGTATATACAAATCATAAAGCTTTATTATTATTAACAGTATCATGAAGTTTGTGTAACTCTATCTACTAGGCTCCATGTTAAAAGCTTTATTTGGTACTTAAAATTAAAATGTAGATTGAATATGATGAAAATGATATTATTTTCCTTATTCAAAAATACCAAAATAAATGACAGCTGATATTTGCATAATGTCAGAAAATTAGACCTGATGTGCCCACAGCTTTCCTCCCATCACCCCGTAAAGATGTCAAGATAGCTCTATTGGATAGCTCTATCATTATATCCTACTGGGCAGGGTGGGAAAGAGAACAAAGGGTATAAGAGGAGCCAGACTCCCTTTAATGGTGGTCCTCAGAACCTAACCCCAGAACTTCTTACTGTAACTTAGCTGAGCTGAATCTCATGTCCATCACCATTTGTAAGAACAGTGGAAAACAGTTCTGATTTTGTTGTTGTTTTGGTTTGGTTTATCTTGGTTTTTAGACAGCATCTCCCTGTAGCTCCAGCTGATCTGGAACAGGCTACGTAAATCAGGCTGGGGTCAATCTCATAAAGATCCCTATGTCTCTGCCTATAATACTGGGATTAAAGATAGGCACCACTATGCCCAGCCCAGCAGATTTAGGATTCTTATTTGATGGTAAACAAAACAAAAGCTAGATGTTAGGAAGTAATCAGTTTCTAACAATTTTATGATCATGCTTCCTATTTACCATTGTTTGTAAATACTGAGGTTGGGAGGGGTTGAGATTGACTAATGGACTATATACTACAGTTAACAGGAGTAAGAAGTCCCACTGTGCTATTGCATGTTTCAGCGACTAGAGGTAGCAATTATGAGCTTAATTATCTCTAAAGAGATAGATCAACAATTGGAGAGATGGCTCAGCGGTTGGGAGCACTGACTGTTCTTGAAGAGGACCCAGGTACAGTTCTACCACCCACATGTAGGTGACAGTGGTCCCGTGACTCCAGTTCCAGGGGCTCAGACTCCCTCTTCTCACCTCCATAGGCATTGCATTCATGGGTGCACTTTCATACATGTAATACACTTATACACATAAAATGAAAATACTAAAAATAAAATATTTAAATAAAAATACAGATTAAAGGATTCTGAATGTATTCACTACAATGAACTATTAAACATTTGAGATAGATATGACTAACCTGATTTAAGTATTTCATAATATATTCATGTTTCAAAACATTACATGGGACCTCATTAACATGTATAATTTTTATGATTCGTTATATCAACTAACAAATTATTAAAAGCATTTCAACTGAAAAGCAATTGATTCTCCAACATCTATCAGACCAACTATCATTCCCACCTTATTCCTAGCTTATCCCACTTCTTATATGCACACTGGACCTCTCACTTGGCTAGTGATGTACCATGGGCACACTGATGTCAACAACAAAAAGTATCTCTGATATTTGTGTTGCATCCTGAAATTCCTAACAGGATTTCTCCATGTCATCATATCTTGTCTTTTTTATAGACAAAGGAACTGGAGTTTAGAGAGGACAAGTAGTTTGTCTGTGATCTCATTCCTAGTAAATGGCGAGGACTCCAAGTTCTAATGTGCTTGTTTAAAGCTGTTACAAAACACCAGAGAATAGTTATGCCGGGAGTAGGGAGGGTGTGTTGGTTTGGAGGCAGACAACCGAAAAAGAAGTCTTTTTTATGATTCTCTCATTTTTGCATGATGAAATACAGTATCAATTTTACTACTGACATTTGCAGAGACAGTTTCTTCTTTTAAAAGACGAATGCATTCGATTAATCTTTTTGTTCTCTAATCATTTAATGTGGTTTTTAGATGAAGACACAAAACTTTCATAGGGTAGATGTGAAACCGTTTTTGTTCTTGAATCAAAAGCAGCAGCATCACACAATTTACACAAAGTCCATGTTTATTGACTAAGTATAAGATGTGACTTAAGTGAACATAATAAGAATTTCACATACTGTAATAATATAATTTATTTAGTATTCCCTGAATTTCTGTTCTATTCATAACATTATATTAGGCATATCAATTTTAGATATTGTTTCCTGAGGTAAAAAAGCTTTTGATTTTTAAAAAATGTGGCATTTTTTTAGACAGGGTCTTCCTGTAGCCCCAGCTGTCCTAGAACTCACTATGTAGACCAGGCTGGCTGTGAACTCACAGAAATTGTCCTGCCTCTGCCTCCCGAGTGCTGAGATTAAAGCATTTTTTTAAGCAACACTTATGTAAGTTTCTCTATAAGCCCTGAATATATAACATATGTGTATTATGCATGATGTAGTAAGTTTTGTCAGTGTGAACAGCTAGTGAAACAGCCCTGAGATGTGGTGAATCACTAAGCAAATCTCTTTCCTGCATATGCAGCATCTTCCGTAGGTTCAGTGAATCTCTAAGACTGCATCCTTCAAGTGATGACTCAGATTCAATCTGTTTCCCATTTCTGGGTCAACTCATGAATTTTAGTTCTCATAGATAGGAAATGACATTAGCCTGCCCCAGAAGTGGCAAATATTGCACACATTTGGATTTCAGGAGACAAAACTAGCCAGATGACCCAATGTGATCACAGATGTCTGGGAAGGATGGTCATTTGAATGAAAGTGAGAAACAAAGCCCAGTAAAAACAGATATTAGCCATAAGTAATGACGTTGGAACCCGGTGTTCAAAGGAGTGCCCATTTCTACGTGAATTTTACAATGTTTGACAAGCATCTAACCATGAAGCCGATAGGTGCATAGTCTTAGCTGATCTACTGGTGCAGTGGCCTCCAACCATAAATGAAATATACACAAGCCTCACTATACAGATACTGTTTGAAAAGTGGTAATGGGAAAAAAGCTATAAAATGTAGTGTATCTGAGTTTATTTTTTTCCTATCAACATTCCTGAAATGACAAATTTTTTAAAAAGTGCAGTAATCTACAATGATCACAGATAACTACTTCAACCATCCATGAATTCCAGACCTCATGGGTGAAGCAAAGGAGGAGTGAAGAGAGGTAGAGCTTTCCACTGTGTCAGCTTCTTATAAGGAGCCTTCCCTGTTGTTGCAGTTACACCTTCATTTTGTACAGCATTAGCCAAACAGTCACACAGTCAAAACCGATGAACAGAATTTGAGAAATTTAGTGTTTCTTCTGGATGCTTTGCTTCCCCAAATAAAAATAATGTTCTGTTACTGAGAACATTATTTTGAGGATGGACATTAAGTGGGCAATTCACAAGTTCTGTTGCTGTAAAGGAAGCGTTACCCCCCCCACACACACTTAAGTATATAAGGATAAGTCATATAAGGACAACTTTGTGATATTCTTCAGTCCTGTAAATACTTATGAACTTATCTAGGGAAAGGGGAGGAGCAATGTTGGATTCTTTGTGTCTTCCTATGATTTTTCTGTTGCATACCTAAGTAGATGTGTTTGCCACAGCACTTGGTATTAAGGGATAAACTATCGAATTTAGACATAGTGAAGCAATTGACATTTTAATTGTGTCAAATATAACAGGGAAATAAGAGCAGAGCTTTAACTGGTCCTTACACAGAATAGTTCTGTTTACATCTTGTAAACTTTTGGTCAATATTTCCCTCAGAAAATGAATGTTTAGAAAACAAAGCACTTGTTTTACTCTCTAGAGTTTAGAAAGGAAAACTGCTTATTCCTTTAGGCTCTTTAACTTTGAGATATAATGAAACAAGGCCTGAGCTACCACAATGCCTGGAATTTGGACTCAGCATGCATGGTATGTTTAGAAAATTAACATGACTTATTTCCATTTTTCCAATTTTTTTCTGCCTTCTCTGCAGATTGTACATTGATGGACCATTTGGAAGTCCATTTGAGGAGTCGCTGAACTATGAAGTTAGCCTCTGCATTGCTGGGGGCATTGGGGTCACTCCGTTTGCCTCAATACTCAATACCCTGCTGTATGTCACTTCAATTCATTTTATTATTCCTAATAGGGAAATGCCAATATTTCAGACAGTTTTAGCTGAGGGATAAAATATTTTTTACAGAGTTTTCCTATTCATTGATTATTCTATTTCCTAATTAACAAAGGAAATAATTCAATAATTTTTAACATATCTGTGGCTCTAAGAATGCTATTTGTAAAAATAAATATGTCCCTTTCCTCTGTTAAAAGTTACTCACCCCTGTCTTTCTTTTCTTGACCTCCTGACACTGGCAAGTGGTACTGTTCATTGATTTGGTCAACAAGTATTTGGGGATGCTCTTGTGAATGACAACATCAACTCTACCCTTAGGGAGCTGAAATTCAAAAGGGGCAATTTAAAAATAAAACAAGAAATTTTATATGGTAGATTATTTCAGAAAATATCAAAATCACACAAAAGGCAGGCTATTATGTCATCCATTCTAAGGCCCAGGGAACATTGCAGAAAAAGGGGACAGAGAGAATGTAAGGACTAGAATATAGAGAGAAGAGCCGTGAAACACCATCTTATGGGCATGCCACAGTCATTGCAACCATGGACTTGCAGAAGCTGCACGTGCCAAGAACAGTCCTATAAACAGTAAGGCATGAATGAAGGAGGGACTCTGGGGGCTCCACCCTTCACTGCTGAACTATTTGCCACTGATAGATTCAGGGAGAAGAAGAGAGTCATCGCCTCCAGATTCATATCAATGGTGATCCTATTAAGCTGCAAAGAATACGTCCAATCCAGTGATCACAGAGATGGTCCTGATTAAACTAAATGGGTCACGAAACAAAACCAAAAGTCATATCTTAGAAAGAGACTACTGGTAGGGTAGACTAGGTAGGGGGGTGATAAAAATGAGAGGGAGTTAAGTGGATGGGAAGGAGTAACCAGAAGAGGTATGGTCAGAAAAGCCTTTATGAGCAGATGAACACATCAGTCCTTCATTTATTACCAAATTTGCAACAGACTGAAGAAAAGAAGGTCAAAGGTAAGATTCCCCAACTAAGAAATATTATCAGTATTTTAGTTCCCTGATTATAAGTAAACTTTAATTTGTTGCCATGAAAGCACCAAGTGACAGCAATAAGGTACTCTCAAGTCTCTTCCATTCAGTTTTCAAGTAAACACAGTTCACATTCAAATATTTTGTGGAGTATCAATAAAAGACTATGCACTCCTGAGGCTGAGCAGGAGCCCTGGGAGTTCATGACTGGCTTGAGCTGCATAGCTAAGACCCAGCTCATAAAAATAAATAAATAAATCAAAGATATTTTTGAGTAATATTTTGTTTCATTTTCAAATATCGTACTAGATGTGACTTGAGGACTTTGGAGACTCTTACAAAAATAACAATATTCCAAGCCAGAAATCATTTGTTTCTGACAACACATTACAAGTTATTTGTTTACTTAATATTATGAAAAAGAAGAACATTTTCTTAACCTCAAGTCTACTTCATAGTCATAAATAGGAATTCAGACTTGGAATTCAGAGTGGCCAGAATGTATTACATATTATGTGGTTGTGAAATCACTTTCTTCAATTATTATTAAGAAAGGAAAAAACAACTAAGTTTTTGGCATGGTTTTCCATAGAAGTGGGCAAGACAGAGTGACCTTTTGAGCCCTATTCAGTAATAGAATTCACTGAAAATAGAGAACTTGTTTTTCTGAGATGCATGAGTCAATGTTCTTCTGATCCAAGAATTCAATTTATGGTCTTAGAATGGAAACAGGTGATGTACATATAATATTTACAAATATAATTGTTGACTTAAGAAGACTCTTAGAGAGTCGGGATATTGTGTCCTACATCCATTTGAGAGTAATAACAAATGCTGTATCACATGTTGGCATGTAAATGGCTGTTTTGTCTCTTGGTTGCTCAAGAATGAAAATAAAAATTTCAAGAATATATGGATCATATATTGTATTTCCAGTTCTAAACACTATCATTTTGTATTGATTTTAAAGGGATGGCTGGAAACCATATAAGCTCAGAAGGCTGTACTTTATCTGGGTCTGCAGAGACATCCAGTCTTTCCAGTGGTTTGCAGACCTGCTTTGTATGTTGCATAACAAGGTAACTTTCAAATTGTTGATTTTTATCTAGTTTTATAATTTTCTATTTAAAAAGTAGTTATATTTAAAAAGCAAGAAATGTTTGCTATAAAATAAAAAGTTCTCTTAAATCTCAAATAATGGCACCTGATAATAATAGATGCTCATTTTTTCAGATTTGGATATTTGTAACTATATGTATATTTCTATGACATAATATAACATTGAAATGCTCATTCCTGTGTTTTAACATAAGATGTTCAACACAGATGAGTATGCACAAGGCTGGACGTAGTAAGGAAGAAAGTTGAATGGAAACGTAACGGGCACTTGCTAAAGCATCTGCTAAGCTCTTTCATAATAACTTTGCCTTTTACTGCCATTTTTAATATTACAGACTGTCATCAGGGTTCTTGATCCATTATACAGTCTTAAAAAATAAAAATAAAATTCAGGCATATTTCATCTATCCTACCTTCAACCTTACTTGATTTCATTTATTTCTATATTTATTCAAATAACACAAAAATTGCAAAAGTAATGCACACATCATACCTTACACATATTTGAAATAAATGAGATGTAGTATAATCTCTCCTCCTAATTTCCCTACTGAGTCTACATAACCAGATTTATGAGTTTCTACCATATTATAACATTTTCAAATATATTTTTAAAACCTTATTGCTACATCTTAAACGTTATTTTGTATAAGTGATTATAGATTCATGTCATTGTTTTGCTGCTATAGAGAACGCCATGTCACAGGTACATTGCTTTATTATCAATTTCTTATTGTTGATCCAGTGGTTAGGGTTACATATGCTTCTTTGTAATCTGTTTTGATTCATTGAGTTAGCCATGTTGCCATTCAGCAGATGTTGTCAACTGTCTACTGTTACTTAGGTTCTGTTTTAAGAGTTAGAGCTATATCAGATAACAAAATAAAACCAAGTTTTTGATATTGCTTGCATTCTTAGTTCCAGGGATGGACAAGTAAACCTGTAAGTATGTAGGATGTCTGATTCTGAAGTTTCAATTGCGACAATAAAAAAGTAGTAGGCTTAGTGGCCCATGTCTTTAATCCCAGCCCTCAGGAGGGAGGCAGGGGCAGGCAGATTTCTGTGAGACCAAGACCAGTCTGGTCTACATAGAGAGTTCCTGACCAACTGGAGCAACAAGAGACCCTGTCTCAAAAAGAAAAGGAGAGAGAGAGAGAGAGAGAGAGAGAAGGAAGGAAGTCAGAATTATTAATAGAGAGTATGTTATGGACATTTGAATGGGGTGAACAGGTAGACTAGTCCACTGTTTTGGAGAGAAACTAAAGACAGAGGAATCTAACTTGCAAAGAAGTGTTCTGATATATTCAGATGTGTAGTGCATTATAAGAAGAGGGAGGTCTGTGTATAGGAAGCCTAGAAGAAAAAGCAAGAATTGTACGAGTGGCAAGCAGAATGTAGTATATGTGCACGTGTGTGCGCGCATGCGCAAGTGTACATGTGTGCTTATCATACGCATGTGTGTGTGTGCATGTCTGTGTGTGTTTAGAATTATTAATAGAGAGTATGTTATGGACATTTGAATGGGGTGAACAGGTAGACTAGTCCACTGTTTTGGAGAGAAACTAAAGACAGAGGAATCTAACTTGCAAAGAAGTGTTCTGATATATTCAGATGTGTAGTGCATTATAAGAAGAGGGAGGTCTGTGTATAGGAAGCCTAGAAGAAAAAGCAAGAATTGTACGAGTGGCAAGCAGAATGTAGTATATGTGCACGTGTGTGCGCGCATGCGCAAGTGTACATGTGTGCTTATCATACGCATGTGTGTGTGTGCATGTCTGTGTGTGTTTCTGTCCACAGGTAGACTGCAGAATGCTTTTAGATTTTATTTTAGGAAGAAAAGATATGAAATTTTATACAGATGTTCCTAGAAGGATTATTTACAGTAGCCCAAACATGGAAATACCTCAAGTGAGCATGAACGGTAGGGCAAAATGCTTGGGTGTACCCTGCTGTAGCTTGGGTGCACCCTGGGTGAAACAAGCCAACATGAAGGGAGCGATTATTTATGGCATTTTCTTGCAATATCTAGAATAGTTTACTTCTTACTTACTTAACGTGAAACCATGGTTTCCAGAGCCTGATGAGAAGGGAAATGAGAGGCAATCAGTGCATTTTTTTTCACCTTACTTCTTTTGAATGTATATCTTTTAACTCACATATTTTTTATGTAAGGAAAACCAGAGTACTGAATAGGCATAAAGCAGGGGAGAGCTGTCTTTTTTATCTTATTTTTTACCAGCCCGATTATCCTATATCATCTTTGTCTCTTTTTTAAATCAACATGATATTCATTGATGAATGAAACTAGATAAAAATTTAGTGACTCTTATGGAATAAAATAGGAGTATTTTAAGGGTCTTATGAGAATATTAAAATGATGTTTATGATCATTTTCATATATTTAAAGATAGATGATTATTTCCTCCTACCATCTTCATCATTCCTCATTTTCACTGGTGTCTGGGCTGGTTATGAATGTAAGAACATATTTCTGTGTGTGTGTGCATATGTGTGTGTGTCTGACTGTTTCTTTATCATTTATCGTATCACTTTTATCGTTATCATATCACCTTTTATTTGCTTAAAAATATCTACTGTGATGAGCCAAATTATCTCTTGCATTATAGAATCACATATGTTAAAATCTGAGTATTTGGAAAGAACTTTAAGAAGTCTATTCATTTTTACGTCCTCTCAGCTTTGGCAAGAAAACAGACCTGACTACGTCAACATCCAGCTGTACCTCAGTCAAACAGATGGGATACAGGTATGTGGTTGGATGCTATTGTTAATTAAATAAGCCTTTTGATAATAAAAGATTTACTGTAAGAGCTGTGCTGAAAGAAATTTTCTGAAGGAAGTTTGAGCAGAAGTGTCCTGGAGGAAGGCCTGTCTTGGAATATGTCCAGAAAATATGTGGCTTGTCCTTGACATCAGTTATATTATGCCTTTCAGTTCTCACAGCATGCTGGAGCAAACCATTAGAGTCTGTCTTTGTTCCTAAGGATTGTTTCAAGTTCTTTATGTCTAGAGACATTGGGCTATAAATGGACAGCCTTGAGATTTTTTTGCCATTGAAGACAAATTTTCTGTAGAGGGAAAAGATAAAGTCATCCACAAGTAAACTTAGTCTATTCCTGAGGAATCTAAAAAAAAAGAAGCAATAAGAGCCATCAGGTTTATTTGCAATAGAAGAGACTGTGCTGAAAATTTGCATACGTTACCATGTGTAATCCCAAGAGATTTGAGAAGTGCATACTGTTACTCTATTTTCTATAAAACAAACTAATGTTTAGAAATAAGAAATAGCTGCACAGGGTGATAAATTTGAGTGCTCTTCCCAGACTCTTATAATTCGTGTGTATATATATGCATGTCATGAATATGAATGGGTGCACATACATATATGCACATATGGGTGGGTGTGAGTGCATGTGTGATCATTATTGTGTGTACATGTGTGTGGAGGCCTGAATACAAACTTGGGTGTTATCCTCAGGAATGCCATTTGCCTCCTTTGAGACAGGGTCTCTCATTGACCTGATGGTCACTAATTAGGCTAGACATGCTGGCCATTGAGTACCAAGGATCCTCTTGTGTCTGCCTCCCAGCACTGGGGTTATAATTCCACACCAACACACTAGACATTTTTATGTAGGTCCTGGGATTGAGCCCCTAGATTTCATCATACGCTTTTCTCTCAAAGTTTGTATATAAAATATAAATGCATGCCAGTTATATCAAAACTGTATCAATCAATTTTGTAAGTAATTTGTCAATGTTTTAATTTTTTTTCTATTTTGCCACACACATGAAGCACTTTGATATCGTTTGTCTTTCTGATGAAATTGTAATTAAGCTACAGATTAAATTATATGTGGTACTGAGTGCTGAAATTCACATGCTTCAGCCTCTCTTTGCCTTTTCTCTGACTCTTCACTGTCAAGTAAAATCTATGTGATGTTTATTATTTGTAAAAATGAGACATTGACAGTATTTATAGTCAGTGGCTGACAACGTTACTATTTGGAGCACTGCTATTTTGGAATGCCTTGTCTAGGATTATTTCGCCAAATTTTTTATGGCAATTTGTGTCATTTACTCATAAAATGAGCCAAGTATTCTATTTTATTTTAAATTTTATGTGTTTGAGTGTATTGCCTGCATGTATGTGAGTGCACACGTTTGGTGCAATGCTGAGGAGGTCAGAAGAGGGCGTCTGATTCCCCTGGAACTGGAGTTAAGGATGGTTGGTTTCTAGCCATCAGGTGGGTGCTCGGAATTGAACCGGGGTCTTCTGCAAGAGCAGTCAGTGTTCTTAACCGCTGAGCCATCTCTCCAGCCCCCCAAATGAGCCAAATATGATCAACTGCACTTATGTGCAAAAAATACTTGAATGAAGCTCATGTTCTGAGCCCATTGGATAAGGGTGAGTGAAAGGGCGTGCTTTGTCTTATATTGCAGTTTTCTTTTTTAGTTTGAAGCAACTAGTTCAAGTCTAGGAAAGTCAGCTATTTGCAAAAACGACATCCAAGAAGACAACTGGCTTTGAAGGGAAAAGAAAACGGAAGTGCCACGTTAACATTTGTGCTTCAGAGGCGTCCGTTTGGCACTTGCATTCTTTATGCCACAATAGCTAGGATAATACAGCACCAGCAGCTTTCAGGTTACAGAAATGAATTCTTTATCCAAATCCATGAGTCATATAAAATATGTGCTCCCTTTTGACAGACGATAATTGGAGAAAAATATAACACACTGAATTCAAGACTTTTTATTGGACGTCCTCGATGGAAGCTTTTGTTTGATGAAATAGCAAAATGTAACAGAGGGTAAGTACTACACCTCAAAAAATTGACATGGCAGCTCAGTTAAATAAGGGCCCAAAGGGGAGGTGAGAAATGGGTGGCCGGCCAGCACTAGGTTGAGAACTATTTGAGACCGATCGCGGCTGGGTGAGTGAGAGTATGACTTACATACAGCCACTGGATGGGCTGTCTAGACTACAGTGGATGCATTTACACTGAAGGATATTTGGGTACAAAAACCTGAATGAATAGGACTCAGCATGGATGGCAGAGTGCATAGGGTTCGGTGGGGGGATGGGGGAGGCATGGATGGGTCAAGGAGTCTGGATTTGAGTGGAAAATGTATGAAATTTAAAAAGCTCAATAAGAATAATTGACATGTCTAATGATCAAATTAAAATATTCCCTGATTATTGCATGAAATGAAGGTGCATTCCAGATATACTTTTAAATCACAAAGCTATTTGAACATTCAGTTAAAATCGAAGAATGAAGTAAGACAGTTTTTGCCCTATAAGCCTGGAATGCAAAATAATTAAAATTTGGCTTAGAAATAGTTATTTGTGAACTAGATTCTTCTTCCTGTTTTTAAATTTGTGTATTCATTTGAGTAGATATATTTATTTTCATAGAAGAGAACAGATGAATTCAGGAAAAGATTTTCAATATCATTTTGGTAAACAAGTGACGGTCACCAATATATCTAAAAATGAATATTTTTAGAAATTACATTTTTATGCTTTATCATCAGATTGAACCTTTAAAAATGCTTTTTTATTTTAACATTAACAATCCAAAACTTTCAATCCAGTATTTTCAATTCATCTTTTCTTCTTACTGTAATTCTGCTTAGAATTAGCATTATAGATGTGTCCGTGACCTGAAGAAATTACATGAAAGGAAAAACATTTATTTTAGGATAGAGACTAACTCGCCCTCTGTTGTCTTTGAAATTAGCATAGTGAACAGCAGTAATTTATAAAAATTTGAAATTAATTTTGTAAGTCATGTGCCCACAAATAACTTTTTAAAAAATTATTGATTTTTATTTTATGTGTACGAATGTTTTTCCTACATGCATGTTTAGTGCACCACATGTATGTATTGTCTGCAGAGATGAGAAAAGGGCATTAGATCCCCAGGAACTGGAGTTACAGATGGTTATTAGCCACTGAGTGGGTGCAAGAAACGGAACTTAGGTCTTCTGCAAGAGCACCCAGTGCTCTTAACTGCTGAGTCATCTTTCTATTCCCGTATATCTTTATGTTTGTAAGTTTAGTTTCATCATAAGTTTTATAAGTTGTGTTTAACATATTACGGATATTTTGCAATTAATTACTTTAAACATATCCACTCAATTAGAAATATCTTAGTTACTTTATTTCAACGTCATTGGCTGTGTAAATGATGCTTAAAGTTCATTTATACATGAACTTCATTAAATGATAAAGTTCATTAAATTATGCTTATGGAAATTGTACATCATCTTCTCCTATTAACCCATAGAATTATATCAGAATTTAATATATTTTTACTAATGAAAGAGTTATATCAACATCATTGGTTGTATAAATGATACTTAAAGTTCATTAAAAAATGGAAATTGTACATCATTTTCTCCTTGAATTTTGGTTGTTATTCTATTAATCCATAGAATTATATCAGAATTTAATATATTTTTATTAATGAAATAGTTAAACTTTCATTGCTAAACTAATTTTACTTTTGCATCAAGAATTCATAGAAATAGAAATTTCATTTACAATGTCTCCTGTGAATGTGAAGTACCAGGGTTAATTATTTTCTTATAACTTCATTTACCACTGCATTTATTAGTATGTACACTCGTGTAATGATACAGACATGTTTGGAGAAATATATTATTAAACAGTTTCAGCACTGTCAAGTAAACTACAACATACACACAAACATAGTGTCATGGTATGCTATATTCTTAAAATATGTGATATGTCTATATATGTATGTGTGTATTTACATCAATGTATAATATAGTCCATTGCTTCTAATGCCACAATGAACAAAAAAAAATGTGAGATTAAGTGAAACAGAAAAGAAAGCAATGCAATCACGAGACAATACACCAGAGATGTGTGAGGCTGTTGCTGGTATAATTCAGCATATTGCTATAGAGTAAATTTTCTTAGGTAGATGAAATATACTATAAAATCACAACATGTATAGTAAAATGAATGTAAACCTTCTAGTAGCAAAATTTTTCATCAAGTATTATACATCATGCATATTATATGTTCTATATAGTTATAACTGACTGGCAGTGCAGTAGATTTGCTAGAACAGTTTTACCACAAACTCATGTGTATGTTCTATTCTTACACATGACAACAGCTGAACTATGATTAGGTGATAGGAATTTTTTAGTTATGTTTCAGTACTATGGTAAAACCATATATGTAATCCATCTTCATTGACATGTTATATAGTGCATGAATGTAGTTGAATGATCATTATTTTAGAAGTATACTAGGAGAAAATGTTTAAAGAACTCCTCCAATTCATGAATTCATGGACAATAATATTTGCTGAAAGGATCAATATGGGCCGTGGCTACACCCACTGTAATTTTGTTTCAGAAGTTATAAACTGGAGCTAAGTAAACAAAACTTCAAAAGAATTAAAGTTCAGTTCAAGTTACGGCATGTTCAAGTTATGGCATGTTTGAAATCACTTCTGTAGCATTTTTCTTCCCCTGATGAAGTACTTTTCAAATGGAGAGACAATGATTATTTATTATTTTGAAGCAGAAATCCTTTGTGATATTCAGATTCCTAGTAGAGGCGAACAGTTGGAAAAATATGTCAGCCTGATTTTGAATGATTCCTTTCCCATCTTTCTCTAGCATCACCTGCATTAGGTGAGAGAATCTTGTCATCTTCTCTTCCTTGTGTTAGGCTCCACAGACATGTTCCTCATCAGTGGGTTTACTGAATGCTGATAAACATACTTCAATTTTTAGCACATTGCTGAAATTTGGCAGTTTCTTTTGGTCATATCTGAAATTGTACCCCAAACATTTAAGGTCCACTTACAGGAAAGTAGATTGGTATTTGGGGCTTATCCATTAGTTTGTAAGAATTTTTATTTGTCATGTTATTTATATTTTAGACTGATTTAGTGTTTATTTGTTTTTGTGAGAAAGCAAACTTGGTATAAGATGAATGAGTGTGTACATACCACTGTTGACACTGCACAACTCCTCACTCTGTATTTGTTCTGAAGCATGCATCTGAAATTAAGTATTTTAGTGCATTTTTATATAGCACACTTAGAACAATGGGGTTAATAATGTTAAGGATTTGTTAATTGGTCAATGGTTACTGTATAAAGCAGTCAGAAGAGTTTCACTTAAAATACAATATTTGGTGAACCTTAAGCACAGAAGTAGCTGAAGAATAGAGAAAAAAGATGAAAAACACATGCAGTTACTTTTAAAGCACTGCATGTTGGGCAATAATTTTTCATTCTCAGAATAAAAGGAATTTATGAAGTCAGAAGGCATCCATTTGGTGCACCACGTAAAGTACATATTAAATGAATCACTTTTACACTCAGAGGTGATTCTTTGGTATGAATTCTTAAAGAAGTGTTTAGTGACTGTGTGAATGTATACATATATATTAAAAATAAGACTGATTTCATAACAAAAATGTAATGAATCCAGTAGATAATTTTTTAATTTACTTTTATAAATACACTCACGTGTTGATCATGGAGAGTTTTCATGTAATTCCACTTTGCAGTATTTTAGAATATTGATACATTAATTAAGAACATTCAGATTATCTCTAGTTCCTCACTTAAAGGTGCTAAAGATATTTTCTTTGTGTTTACTTTCTCGTTTGAGATTATTACAGTGGGAAAATGCAATTGCTGGCTCAAAAGTAGCCGCATGTGGGTCCTGCATCAGAAAAGTTCAACTTACTTTCTGTGACTTTTTTAAATTCAGAAAATGAATTATGCGATCAGAATATATGCTCATAAAAACAGGATCATTCATTATTTTACAGATGAAAATTGAGCTCCAAATATAGTGACTTAGGGAATGCTGTAGTGGATGAGAGTGCTTTCAGACATGAACCACTATCTGACTATGGTTAGAGTGTATTCTATAGCTGGGCTTGTTTAGCTTGTCTGAAGCAGATTAACTATCTAACGACACCATCTGTCTTGTAAGGAGTGAAACTAGGCGGTAGTACTGGTACAAACTGCTGCATAGACTGTTTCATCCATAGTACAGCTCTCATTTTCCCTTTCTTATGTGTGTTTTGTTTGATTGTTTTTCTTTTGCATACTGCACACAGAACCCAAACCTTCTGTCTGAATACTCAGCAAGCATCCCAATAACTCATTTTTCAAAAATATAAATAAAAGCTTTAGAATTATTCTGTACGCTAATATAACAATACGTCAGAACTCGTTTATTATACTAACGCCTATTCAGTTTCCTCGTTTGTAATAGAAATGCATATTGTATTCTAAGCTGTGGGATGTATATATTGTAGAAAGAGGAAAAGAAAGTATTAAATGTGGGTTAAAAGCTTGAGACCATATCTTGATTTTTTTTGTGCTTCATCGAACTATGCCTCACCTAGGCTTGACTCATATTTGCAAGTCTTTGCATCAAGGTACTGAAACTTACTGGATCTGTGCTAGATAAACCCTGTGGAATGGACATGTTATCATGTGCCAGCCACTCCCATAGTACACATGGAAAAATAGTACTGTTACATTAAGAAAACATGTAGTGACGTTTTAAACATTTATGGGATCAATTCCCAATGTTTACACTCAAATTGCATTCTCAAAGTTGGAGAGATGGCTCAGCAATTAAGAGCATCAGCTGCTCTTGTGGAGGACCTGGGTTTAATTCCCAGCACCCACATGGTGACTAACAACCGTCTGTAACTCCAGTTCCAGGGGATCCTATGCCCTCTTCTAACCTCTGCCAGCACTGCACTACATGGGTGCATTTACATATATACAGGCAATATACTCATAACAAAATAAAATATTAAATAGCATTCTATACTTCGCTCTTGTCCATCACTGTCCTCAGTTTTTGTAGGTATGTCTATAATTACCTGTCAGGCTGCATGGATCTGTTGAAAATTTAGTACATATGGATTACAAAGATTAATCATAGATATTGAAAAAGTTGTAGGACTTCACTGAGTTGGTGAAAATGACAGTGAGGAGATTCTCCAATTATAGAAAGAAAAGATAGCATAAACAATAAAAAATGTTAAAAGTGTACAAAAAAATCCACCTGTCCTGGGTCATTTTTAAAATAACTTTATGATCAAGTATTTAAGAAGAATTCTTAAGAACTCTGACAACTTATGAAAATAATTTGGTAGAATTCCCTGTCAATGAAAATAATACTATCATCTTATCGCTCTGAAGCAGCAACACTCAAAATGACCTATTCGTTCTTTTTCCATTTTAACAAAGACCACACTGTAGTTTTAATAGTAAGCTAAGGTTTATTATGTATAGCAGTATTTATTTATTTCATTCCTTTTCATTGCTTGTAATTTCATTACATAATTAAGTAGGATGTTAGGGGAGGACCCCAGGTTATTTTCTTCAAGCCTTCTTCTGTAATAAGTGTATTTTCTATGATGTATTTCTCTCTAAACACCACTTTGGCTATATTGCATGGCTTCTGATATGTTTTGTTTCATTTTTATGCAGGTCAATATAATTTTAATTTTTCATGTCATTTTTTTCCTTTAGTTCTTGGGTTATTTAGAATTATATTGATCAACATACAAATATATTGATATTTTTAGACATATTTTGGTTATTTATATCTAGTCCAGTTGGGATTTTGTTAAAAAATACACTCATTGAATTTCACTTCCTTAAAATTTATTGAGACCATTTTATTGCCCAGGATATGATCTATTTGGTGTGCTACATACATTCACTTGAAAGGGGCTTTTATTCCAGTATTCTAGAACATTCTATAAATGTAGATTAGCTGATAGTGTTCAAGTTTTTAATACACTTATGGCCTTTCTGTCTACTCTCAATGTGTTGAAATCATCAACTATGAATCTGGATTTATCTGTCTTTGAATTTTAATCAGTTTTTGCTTTATGTATGTTAAAACATTAATTGTGTTTAGACTACTTGAATTTAATAAAAATATAGCTGAGTTAAATGTAGCAGCTTACCCTTACTCTTTCTTTTTCATTATTCTTGCATTTTCTACTCTTATTTGGATTAATTGAATTTTCAGAAAGCATTTTCTCCAGTGCTGGCCTATTAGTCATCCCACTATATTTATTTCTTTGAAGTCACTGCCTCAGACCATTGGTTCCCAAACTGAATTTCTTCTCTCAGTCATCAGCTGGTACCTTAGAAAAGCAAACGCCTCTGAACCAGAAGCTTTCTATCTGACCCAGCTGCCTGAACTCTGTGAAGGTCCTAAGGTGGTTCTGATGAAGCCAAAGCTGGAAAAACTGTTTGCAATGCACACTGCACATCTCTAGCTTATCAAAGATTCATTAATCTATTTTAGACCGCTGTAGACCTCCATCCCCCTTAACCTCTTTGCCTCTGCTGTCACTAACTTCCCTGCTCATATGCTGTGAAACCTATTCTTAGTATTTTTTGTTTCCAAAAATCAATCGTGTATCAAGATATTAAAATCACACAAAAACATATTAATATTTATTCACAGATTTATTATTTTACTGTTGTTTAGTCCTCTGAGCAAATTCAAGTTTCCATTTTTCCAGTTTGATCTCTGTTGCTGTGATAAAACACTCTGACCAGAAACAACGTAAGGAAGAAAAGATTATTTCATTTTACACTTCAGGTCACAGTCCACTACTGAGGAAAGTCAGGGCAGGAAGTCAAGCAGGAACCCGAAGGTGGGAACCATAAATGGATACTGCTTGGTTTGCTCACAGGTCCATGTTTATCTAGCTTTCTTATATAGCCCAGAACCATCACGGTGCCTCTTACCATGGAGTAAGGCTGGAAATTAAAGATGGAGATTCGAGCAGACTTGGTTTCCTCTGAGGACTATCATTTGATTTTCAGGTAGTAGTCCTTTGGCTACCCCTTCAAATGACCTTTTATCTATTCATACAAAATGTTGATATCTCTTTCCTGTGTTCAAATTTCCTGTTTATACAGATACCACATAGTATATTAGGGCTCACACTTATTTCAATCTTCATTGCCTCCATAAGGATCTAGGATTATGTAATAGCTACATCCTGAAGCATTGAAGTTTCAGCAAAATAGTGGAGGGAAACAAATAAGACTGTGAAACATATAACTCCTAGATCTAGTTCATATATTCTTTCTTTTAGATTCATGTATTTGTGTGTGCGTATGTGTGTGTGTAGGTGTGTGTGTCTGTCTCTCTGTATAAATAATCTAGTGCCCAGCTTCATACCCCTTCCGTATTTTGATTTTGAATGCCAAATACTTTGATGCTTAGATATTAAATGCTAATTTCAATTTATTCTTAAATTTTAAAAAATATTTTTATTGAGTTTTGTGCATTTCCTATAGCCCCTACTCCCCATTGGATTTCATGCAATCTGTCATATGCGTTAAGTCCTATCCATTTGGTCAAGCATTTGTACTAAGATGTCTCTTGGTGCAAATTCGTGCACTGGAGTCCAGTTAGCCTATCTAGAGTTACTCCCTTTAAGAAGATCTACTTTCCCTCATGCTGCAGTATAAGTACATTGAGCTTATTCTTCCATGTAATTCTGTTACTTTGGTTCAGTATGGTCTTTAAATGGCTTATTATATCACTTCTTAGTACAAATGATCAATCTGAGATCTAACACTGATTTTCTCAACATTTCCACTACCTTTTGCAAATAGGGAGACACCTTATGGATCACTAATGAGTGCCCGTGTAGCACAGGCCTTTCTTTTCTTCTTTTTGTTCTATGAATTAGCCAGAGATCGATAGTACTGATGGTGACTCTTTCCCCCATCAGCCTACACAGTACCATCTAGTACTGTGAAAACTAGCTAGAAAGGCGGAAGCTTTGTGCTGCACACCAAATTAATTTTTCCATTAATTTCTAAAATTTAATTTTAAATTAATTTTTCCTGTGACCAAAGCATGTGATGTCTTCAGCTAGGGGTAGGGGCTCATGGGTTTGACTCAAACAGTTTTAATAGGGTCTTACTAGAGCAATGGCAATAGTTTGAATTGTTTAGGAGGTCTCTGGGACACTCTTGACCAACAAGTTGAGGGGAGGTACCCCACATCTGGCATTGGGCTTTTCATTTCTCAGTCTGTGGCTTCTGGCATAGAGTAATGCCAATTAAAATCTTTTATATGAATAGGTAGGTAGATAAATATATATAAATATAACATATAGTATTTAAATATAATATAGTAGGTTTCTCATAATTGCAGTATTGATGATCAGACTCTGTACATACACCTACTAAGCAACTGTTCTAATACTGAGCTTCACGGCTAGCACTTTTGGTGTTTCTTTAATTCAAGAAAATAAATGTAGCCTCTATCATCATGACCACAAATAAAATTTCTATATTATGTTATTCAAGGTGAAACATTTTAATAAAGTGTTTTCAGCATTTACATGAATTTTTGGTATTTATTTAAATAGTTCGTGGTCTGTTCTTCTGCTCCCAATTAGTCTGCCTTAATGAGGACATGCTATATTTGTCTGAGATGTGATAGAAAATGTTAATAATTTTGATATCTTAGGGAGAAACTTTGTACATCAATAAAACTTTGAGGAAGATCAATTTAAAGTTCTAGCCAATTCCTGAAATATATTTCTGACATTTGTTAAAGATATGTATTTTTAATTGCAAAAGTTTTATGTTAGAGAATAAAATAAAATTCGTTTTGGGTTTCTTATAGCTTTTACAGTGTATAAAGAAAAAGAAAAATACATACATATTAATATGCTGTGTTTCTATGTGGTGTAACTGTTGCTTTCCAGTTGGTGATGCCATTTCTTTCCCTTCATTGATCACTGCTCATGCAAATCCTTGTGAAAATTTTACAAAGGAATTGATAAAATGGCAATTAAAGAATTAGCATAGGCAAATATGTGTAGTAATTGACATCTATCAATTTTCTGTCTTAGTACGGTTATTGGTGGCATGTACCAAAAGAACTAAGGTACATTGCTTAATTTCTGTCATGAGCCAATTTTCCCTCATAGTTATGTATTTTTGTTTTTCTGAATTACACTATGAAAAATATCAAATAAGCAAAATATTTTTCTGGTGGTCAATTACATTTGGAAATTGTTTTGAAAATGAAAACTAGCAAGAAATTAACTGGTAATCCCTGGAACACATGCCCATGCCTTACATAGTCTGTTCTGCATAATTTTGTATCTTATTTTCCATTTCCTGTCTTCCTTCTCTTTCCAGGAAAACAGTTGGTGTTTTCTGCTGTGGGCCCAGTTCAATTTCCAAGACGCTTCATAGTTTGAGTAACCAGAGCAACTCATATGGCACAAAATTTGAATACAATAAAGAATCTTTCAGCTGAAACCTTTTGACACAATCATTTTGAGGACTCTAAAGAAGAAATGAGTGCAATTTCAAAGACTTGGAAACTCAGCTAAATCAATCAGCTGTGTTATGCCAAAGAATATCAAAGTTTTCTTATTTATAATTATTTAAAAATGAGAATTCAGAGATTGTGACAAAATGACAGGTCACATTACATGTTTAATCTGGAAATCAAAGAGACCCTGAAGAATGATGTGGGGATTCACATTTTGATGGGCAAATTAAAAGAATGTTGTTAGATAAACACTGTTGATTTTTATGGCAAATTCAAGAACTCTCCAGTGAGGATCTACTCTCATTCTGAAGTTGATAACTGCAGTCCTCTAGAAATTGTTTTTGGTTGAACAAATTCAAGATTGAACTAAATTAAAAATTCATTGAAACTCAGACTACATTTTCTACATTGTATATTAGTGGTGTAGTTTAATTTGGAAAAGCTCCAGGCAAACATATTCAGTGTTTGAAAATGCAGCACAAAACTTGTATCAATACGGGTACTTCCTGTCCATAGCTAATCTCATTCACTACTGATGCTAATGCCGCTATGGATAGTCTGTATGTTTTCCTAGCCTTTCACCTATGTTGATGTAGTATCTATTTTATATTTTTCCCTTATCTTCTATCTAGGGAAATTTGTGTTCCAATAACAGACATTACACATAATGATTTAATAGGTCTGTTTTATCTCCAATTTGCTTAGTCTGGTATTACTGCGTAGTAATGAAAAGAGTCATTACTGAACACTATAGAGGGACACAAACACACACATGTGTTTGTATATGTGTGAAACTTTTTCTCTTTTTAATAATTTTGGATTCACTATTATTATACTTTTTCAAACTCATATATTATGTCTTAATTTTGACTTGTTAAAGTATTGTGTTCAATTTGTACTTTGAGATGAAAGAGCATTGTAGCTGGCAGTAGATGCTGAAATACAAGCTCTCTTTCCTGGGCCTCACTTTGGTTTCAGATAAAGATGCTACAAGTCACACTCCTGAAGAGGAATCTTCTGTTTTGCTTTCTGCAAAAGTAGAACTACTTCACTATTTATGAAAATTTAAGTTTGCAATCACTAGTACTGTTTTGCACTGCTTGGTATCATGCTGAATTTTAGATTTAAAAGTCTGTTGTTGTGAGCCACTCAGTTCATAATACTCCTGGCTCAGAAGAAAAACACCCTTTACTACCTTAGTAATTAAGGTATTCGCAGTTTATCCACTTCATTTGGTAGTTTCTTTAATGCATCAAATATAACACATTACTGAAATCTGCCACCCATCTTGCCTTGCTTTTCTTAATCTTTTACATATAATATAATTAAGGTGAATTCTTCTTACTTGTGGTGTAACTCACTTTTAGCCAGCAAGCATGTTAAATCATTTGGCACCGAATGACCGAATGTATACACACACCGAATGTGTGTATACATTTACACATGTTCCTTGGAATTCTTTCATATCTTCTGTAGAAAGAAAGGTGACTTACAAAAGGTGTTGGGTGATGTGCAATGTTCATAGTCGTGGAACCCTGGATATAACTTTAACAGCAAACCAGTACATTTAGGCAGCACTGTCTAGATTAGGAAGGATTTTCAGGAAAACATATAACAGAAAGAACTAGTTAAAAGAAACTTGAGTGTATCCAGGCTTGATGTGCAATACTGACTCTGTGTTGATTATAATTTATTCATGTGATTATATTAATGAATCTGATTTCAATAATACAGGCTGAGTATTTTTCTAAAGAAAGTTGATAATTCAGAGATATCCTGGATGAACCGCCTTATCTAATCTGAATTCCAGTGCATGTTCAAACATCTACATGTTAAACATGGCTTATTTTTATCAGAAATAAAATTAAAGCTTTGTTATACATATGTAAGACAGCTTTGCTTTGTTTTGAGAAATTATTTATGTCATGATAGTACTTACTTTATGTCTTAAATCACTAATTTCAGTGAGAATAGATATAAAAATAAAAATGGTATCCCTGAAGTTTCTGTAAGTTCACCTTACCTTTGCAACAAATAAGTTAACAATTTTAGGTCAGGAGGGTTGTTTTGCTTTTGTTTTTTCACATAACACAAGGTAAGTTGAGGAAAAGCAGTCTAAGCTTACACCAGAACACTAGCCTTAGAAATTTGGGTTCTGCAGATATTAATGTTACAGCATATTGATATGACTATGGAAAATTTACTTCTCACATTAGGGTTAAGATTTCTCATTTGGATTATTATTATTTGGAGTATTATTCTCAATGAATAATACTTAAATTTTTGTTTGTTTTTGAAACAAGGAAGGTCTCATGTAGATCAGGTTGACCTTAAAGTTGCTATATAGCCAATCCTGCCTCCCAGGTGCTAGAATTATAGGCATGCACTGCCATACCTAGATACTTAACCATTTTTAGACAATACACCTTTTTTGAGACCATAATTCAAAACATAATGTGATACACAATACATTGTATGTTATTTGGGACCACAAATAATCACTAATATCTAGAAGATATGTTTAAGTACTCTAAAGAAATGATTATCACTATACGCCTTTCTACCTATACATTTCCTTTCTTTATTTTTTCATTCTTTTACTTTCAGATAGTTTATTTATTTTTGATACAAAAGCCTGACAATAGCAAACTGCTACAAAACCTTTGGGTATGTCTCTGATAATTTTCTTTGGAAAATTATGCAAAGTGAAATGGATAGATCAACAATATGTCCCTTTTTCAGAACCTTGAAAGACTACTACACAGCTGCATTGCAAATATTAGTTAGCACCCAAATACATTGTACTACTTAAAAATATTTTTTCCAGTTCTTGTACATTTCATATAATAGATCATAATCCCTCCCATAGACTCCCTCCTCCCACTGAATTTCATGCATTTTACCATATATGTTGTCCTTTCCAGTCAAGCATTTGTACCCAGATGTCCTTTGGCACAAGATCATCCACCCAAATCTAGTCAGCCTATCTAGGATCCCTTCCTTAAAAAAGATCTCTCCCTCACCCAGCAGTAATCAATTGCCGATAGGCTCCTAGGATAAGTTTGAGCCCACTGCCCATTTCCCTCATTCTATGCTGGGTTTTTGTCTGACTGAATCAGCATGGGTCTTGTGTATGATGTCACCATTGTTGCAAGTTCTCATGAGCGATTTCCCAGTGGCTTATGTTCATCCACCAACCCTGGCTCTTACACTCTTTCTACCCTTCTTCCACAATGGTCCCTGAGCTGTGGGTGAGTGAGGTTCCACAAAGGAGTCCTATCTAGGGAAACACTCTCTACAGTCTCTTATTGTCTACAACTTGACCAGCTGCAGCTTTTTGTGTGGTGCATCACACTCTATTATATGAGGAAGCTTCACTGGTGAGAATTGAGGGATGTATTAGTATTCTGTCTACTCTCTGTTCCGCTATGATCCATGAGACTTAGATGTAGAGTTTCCACTGCAGATATGCTATTTATGGCTGAGCATCTCTCAGAAATTTATTCTGTTTTTGACCAGTTGTGGAATGATATAACAGCCTCTATCTGTTGCAAAAAGAAGCTTATTGTTTTTTATTTTCAAAAACAGTTATTTATTTAATAACGACATGATTAGAAGAAGCATTTCATTACAGAAATAACATATTCAATAACAATTTCCAGAGCAAAATGCATCTCTTCAAAACTGGATGTAAATTTTTAGGTTCACAGTTGAATTAATACAGTTATACAATACTGAACTCAGTATAAACCCTGTAAGACATAAAATTGAATTAGGTTTTAACCTTTAAAAAAATTTCCATTTCATTTTAAAATGTACTAATTCATACAGAAAAACATTTTTAATGCTACTAACACTTAGATGTTTGCACATGCATCTCTATTCTCTATATATTTGATTATTACTAATCACAGTTGGTTACTTTCTGTCCTAGTCTGTTTCTTCATTCCTGTAACGAAGCACTCTGACCAATACCAACTTTAGGAGGAAAAAATTTATTCGGCTTATATCTCCCATGTTACATTTCCATCAGGGAGTCCAAGATAGGAACTCAGGGCAGGAACCTGGAGGCAGGAACTGGAGCACAGGCCATGGAGGAACACTGCTTACTGGCTTGCTCTCCTGGCCCCTGCTCATCCTGCTTTCTACAGTGGGCTGGGCCCTCCCACATCACTCAACAATAAAAAAGGTGCCCTATGGACATGGCCCTGCAGACCACTCCAGTGAAAGAAATTCCCCAATTGAGGTTCCCTCAACCCAAGTGTGTCAAGTTGACACTAAAGATATCTAGTACACTTTCTTAGATTCAACTAAGCATGGATATAAAATCATCAGGTAGATTTCAATGGTAATGTTTTTTACCTGTACTAATTAACATGGAGCAAATTTTTATGCTTCTTCCTCAAATATAATTGATATTTTATTTGTTGATTTTTTGTGTGTATTTCATACAGAACATCCCAAACAATCTTATTCATCTATAAACCCACATCCCAAATGGCACCTTCCCATAGTCTCCCCGACCCCACTGGACCCCATATACTCTCTCATCCCTGTTACTGTCCACTGTATTGTCAGTGCCCCCAGGCATTCCCCAGTGCTTGTCTGTCCACTGAATTTAGTCAGCCTACCTAGAGTTCCTTGTATTAGGAAAATCAGCTCTTCCTCATCTAGCAGCAATAAGTTGCCAATATTCCTTTAGATAAGATTGAGGTCTGCTATTCATTTTCCCAGTTCTATGCTGGGAGTCTCTTGGGCAACCCTGGCTAACAACTCAAAAGAAGGTATCTTCTGACATTGTTTCTTGTTATGTAGCTTTTAGCTGTACACATAGACTCTTAAAGAATTATATTTATCCCTTTAATCATTGGTTATATGTTTCTTTTGGGTGTCTAAGACCATAGAGTTGGCCCAGATAAACCAATTAACTTTTACTCTTAAGGTCATTTGAGTATCTGTTCCTTAGGGGTCACATGAACTTGAGAAGAGCCTCTGACTCATTTCTTTTACCAGTTTCATCTATGTGAAGATAAGTCAAATGTCCTGCTCGACCATGGCTGGCTTTACTTTGAAGCATGGAGGAAATGTTTCCTCTGTGTTGAGCTTCCTCTTTGTACACTGGATACTGGTTCAAGTTCATTTGGTGGGATCTCCATGGCCTCTTTGATCAAGAGGACAGGTGAAACACCACAGTTACAGGACATTTTGAGAGATGCTCATAGTCCCCTGGAACTTTGTCTACTTGGGCAGGCAAGGAGCAAAACTGTCCATTATGTCCCTCTGGCCAGATTGGTAAAGGCCTCAAAGTATGGCTATTAGACATCCAAGAAGGTTAGTTCAACCAGTCTGGCACTTTTCATTACCATGTACTGTATAGATAAACCTTGGGCAAAGACCAAACATTCTCAGATAAACCTTGCCTAGACATGTATTATATTCTTTAAGCTACTTGTATATATAATTTGTCAGTAGGTTGTTCGATTAACATGGTTCCCTCTGTTTTTTTAAGTCTAGCTAGGCATTATTTATCCATTGCATTGTCTCACCCTTCCACTGTGGTTTTTCCATTTAAAGTACCCCCATTTTATCCATTTCTCCCTTAATAATACCCTTCTCTTATGGTCCCACCTCTCTTGAGCTCCTTCTTTCCATTTATCCCATAGGTTCCTCGTAAAATTCTCCCTCTCCCCTCCCCTTAAAATAACCCCATTTTTATCCATATCTCCCTTATTAATGCCTGTTACCTACTGTTCTCTTTCAGATTCTTTTCTTTTCTTTTACCTCCAGGTTACTTTTCATTATCCTGGTTCCTGTAGTTATGTCTGGATACATACTCACTTATAAGGATTTGGTGCTATGATCCACATATGAGGGAGAACATATGTCATTTGTTTTCTGAGTCTGTGTTACGTTATTAGTATAACAGTTTCTAGTTCCATCCATTTACCTGCAAATTTCATGATTTCATCATTCTTTAATGTTGAGTAAAACACCATCGTATAAATGAACCATATATTCATTATCACTCATCAGTTGAGGGAAACTTAGGTTCCTTCCATCTCTTAACTACTGTTCAAAGAGCAGCAACAAGCATGGATGTACAAGTGTCTCTGCAAAAGGATGAGTTCTGTGGGTATATGCCAAGGAGTGGTATGACTGGGTCAAATGGTAGGTTCTTTTGTAGCTTTTTAAGAGTTCTCCACACTGCTTCCCATAGGGTTTGAACAAGTTTGCAGCCCCACCAGCAGTGGATGAGCATTCCTCTTTTCCCACATCCACTTCAACATTTGGTATCATTTGTTTTCTTGATCTTAGCCAGCCTGACTGGGGTAAGATGAAATCTTAATGTGGTTTTAATTTGCATTTCCCTAATTATTAGTGATGCTGAACATCTTTTAAGATGCTTCTTAGTCATCTTCTTCTTTTGAGAACCCTCTGTTCAGCTCCTTAGCCCATCTTTTAATTGGGTTACTTCCTTTCTTGAATCTTTGTTTTTGTGAGTTTGTTATATATCCTGGATGTTAAACCTTTCTCAGATGTGTCACTGGTAAAAATTTTCTCCCATTCTGTGAGTTTTCTCTTCACTTCCTTTGTTGCTTCTTCTGATGGACAGAAGCTTTTTAGTTTAATGAGGTCCAATTTGTGATTCTCGACCTTGTTTCCCTACACCTATATCTTGTAACTTATTGCCAATGTTTTCTTCTAACAGTTTCAGAGTTTCAGGCTTCAGATATTAGAATTCAGGTCTTTGATCCTTTTGGAGTTGACTTTTGTGCAAGTTGAAAGATAGGGATTTAGTATCATTCTTCAACAGATGGAGATCCAATTTTGACAGTACCATTTCCTGAACAT